TTGTCTGTTTTCTCTGTCCCTGCTGTTTCCAACAGTCACACCGAGCACAGCATCCCCTACATCGGAATTGACAAGCACTTCCACATCAGCGGAGACTCTCAGCAGCACCACGCCCACCACCACTACCAGCACCAGCACCAGCACCAGAACACCGACAACAACAACAACTACTACAACAATCATCCCAACTCCTGAACGTATGTTCCAAAACCAAATAATTCCCGCCCAAAGCCCTGTGCCTCCAGCTACAGTGGCAACAAATAATTCTCTGGCTCTGTTGTCATTTCTGGCCTTGCTGTGGGAGTAGTGAAGATCCATGAGCACCTCCATATGTGGCTCTGGAAGGGATCAGGGATGGGTGTAATTTCTGGGCAACCTGTGGCTAAACCTGGCCCTTGTTCTGGCTATTTAAAAGGAACAAGGATTTAGGGGACCTTGGGAGAAGGTCTTGTCTTCCCTGACTCAACAATGCTCCATGGAGGTATTTCATACCCGTGCCCGGATTAGACAGATACTGATGTGATGGGAATGTTGCTTTTGCTGCTATTGGACATTCTCCTTCAGCTGTTCAGAATATAGTCACTGGACCCAAGGTGTGCAGTGGAAGTGGGGCTAAAGTTTGTGGCAGTGGCATTTCAGGCTTTGTTTGGGCACAGCTATGCAGACTAATTTCCTTTCTCTCCTGTTTTGCTTCTGTGGCCATTGCAACAATTTACCAGGTGTTTGGGCTGTAGGATGCTTCCATGGCTTTTGCTGGCAGAGTTTGGGGATTGGTTTTAGAGCTCAGATTTCCACTTCTGACAGACACAAGCTCTGGCCAGCAGGATTCTACCAGCATTCCCATTGGTGCTTGTCTCCAGCAATCTGTGTGCTGCTGGAAAGCACTGGGAAGCACTGCTGGGAAGCAGCTGCGGTTTTGTCAGCAGCGTGTGTCCTGTGCCTGCTTTCCCTGTCATCAGGTGCCTTCCCAGTGGTTGGTTTCTGCATGAGATACTGAGGTGATGTGCATGGCCCAAGAAGCTGAGAGAGTGGCAGGAGTCTCTGCTTAGTCCCACTCTGCCTCCTGTATGGGTCTTATGTGCATGTTTTTTTGCAAAGGAGTGTCCATACAAAGCAGTGTGCCCCAGCTGGGAGACACACACACAACTCATGAGTGCCTGTGTCCTGATGTGGGCCAGGAGTGGTTTTCAGGGTCAAGAAGGAGAGGCCTGGCCCCACCACTGAGCTTTCTTATGGCCCATGTTGGCTAGTGCAGTAACAACCTGAGGGGCACTGCCTGGGAGTGCCCAGAGCACCACCTGTGTGTGCTGCTGGTGCCCTGCATTGCTGTCTCTCTCCTGTCTGTTTCTAACTATCCGTCTCGTTGTCTCCTCTCAGCGTGTGAGTGCATCTGGACGGACTGGATCGATGTGAGTTACCCAGATGGTTCTGACAGGAATGGTGGTGACTACGAAACCTTTGAGAACATTTGGAAGAAATACCCCTCCTGGGAGTGTGCGAAAGTTGAGAATATTTCATGCCGAGCAGAGAAATTCCCTAGCCATTCCATTGCAGATTTAGGGCAGAAAGTGGAATGCAACGTGAACGTAGGGCTCATCTGTAACAATAAGGATCAGCAGATAGGAGGTATAATACCAATGCCAGTCTGCCTCAACTACGAGATCAGTGTCTGCTGCACCCCCAACAAACCAGAGTGTCTTCCAACTCCAAGCACCACGAGCACCACAACTTCGACATCTTCCCCCACAACAAGCAGTGTGACCCCTCCAATATCAACCACCGCTCCAACGTCAACAACAGTGGAGACTACCAGCCCTACCAGCCCTACCAGCACCAGCACCAGCACCACCACCACCACGCTGCCCCCCAGCAGCACCACCACTAGTGGCAGCACGTCACAGACAACCACAACTGCTCCTGTCTCAACAACACCCGTTTCAACTACTTCAAGCACATCCACGCCCACACCAACATACACCACCACCACATCAACTCAAGGTACTTCTCTGATCTGTGCTCTCATGTGTTTCCTTGCTGTGGGGAACTGAAGGTCTGTGAGCACCTCCATTTGTGCCTCTCTCTGGGATCTGAGATTGGGATAATCGTTGTGTATCCCCTGAAAGGGCCTTTGCCCAAAGGTGGCCCTTGGGCTGGTTGTTTCAGAAGGAGCAAAAATACAGGGCTCTATGTCCTCCTCTCCTGTGGGGATCTTGAGCCTCTTGTGCATACATCCGTCCTTGACCACAGATTGCTGTCTCAGCTCTTACTCCATGAGTTAGTGAGGTGTTCAGGTAATGAGGCAGAGATAGAAAGCCCCCAGCAGATGAAAAGCATTACCCCTCCTCCTCTCTTCCTTGTAGAATCTTATCGATCTTCCTTATAGGTAGATCTCTCTGATTCAGTGAGAAGTACCTTGCAGCGCTATCCCCAGTGTCTTCACAAGGCAAGAAGGGCTGTGACCCATCCTGTGTGCGCATGCATGTCAAGGGTTCTGCTTTCTATGGCTGGAAAGGGAGGAGTGGTTCTGGGGACCTTAGTTTTCCTAAGGGGGGCTGACCTGTCTAGGTCTGTGGCCACTGCCTGATGGGCAGCTTCCGTTGAGTTCACATTGAGTCCCACTGATGCCTTTGTGCCTTTGTTTTCTCTGTCCCTGCTGTTTCTAACAGCCCCAACTCCACCCACACCAAGCACACCAAAATCGACAACCACTTCTACGTCACCGGAGACTCCCACGACCACCACCAGCCCTCTGAGCACAACTACCACTGTTCCTGAATCAACACCCACCATCTCAACTCCTCAAAGTATGTTCCCAATGATAGTAATTCCCATAAAAAACCCTCTGGCCCCAGGAACAGAATCAAAAAATAATTCTCTGGTTCTGTTGTCATGTCTAGCATGGCTGTGGCAGTAATGAATGTCTGTGAGTATCTCCATTTGTGGCTCTGTGTGGGATCAAAGATGTAACTTCTGGGCATTCCAGGTAATGAGTTGTGCCCAAAGTTCATTTGGGCTGTTTTAAAAGTGATGAAGATGCAGGGGTCCCAGGAAGAAGTTCTTGTCTTTCTTGATGCAACAGTGCTCTGAGAAGGTATTTCATCTTCCTGCCCAGCTAAGTCACATATTGAGCTGCTTTTGCAGCTGTTGGACCATGTGCTTCTGCTGGGCAGAATATGGTCACAGAACCCATGATGTGCAGTTGGACAATTATTTTGGTTCTTGACACTGGCATTTAGGGACTGTTTTAGGCTCAGCTGTATAGCCTTTTTCCCCCTCTCTTCTCCCTCTTGGCTGTGTCTGTGCTAATCTTTGGTTATAGATGTAGAAAGGAAGGATTCCTCTCCCATGCTTTTGGCTACCTGCTACCGCTTGTGGTGAACTGCGGTCTTTGGCTGATCAGATCCACTAGTAGTCTGTGATGTCCTTCATCAGGGTGACATTGGGAAAATCACATGACTATGAGGTAGAAATGTGTTCTGCTACATGATCCATTTCTGGAGCACAGATTCCCCTAAGTTCTTACTCTGTGAGTTAGCAAGTTGTTTAGGTAATGAGCCAGAGATAGAAAGCCCCAGACAGATCCAAAGCATTACTCCTTCTCATCTCTTAACTACTGCTAGGTCTCCCTAATTTTGTGAGAAGCACCTTCCAGCACCATCCCCAGTCTCTTCACTACAAAAGAAGGGCCATGACTATTTCTTTAGATGGATGTCAATGAGTTTTCTTTCTGGGCTGAGAAAGGAAGGGCTGGTTCTGGGGTCTGTTGCTCTGCTAAGGAGGGGTTGACCTCTCTAGCTCTGTGGCAGCTGCCTCATGTGCAACTTCTGTTCAGATCCAGCTGAGTCCCACTGATGCCTTTGTGCCTTTGTCTGATTTCTCTGTCCCTGCTGTTTCTAACAGGCACAACTCCATCCACACTGAGCACGCCAAAATCGACAACCACTTCCACATCACCAGAGACTCCCACCATCACCACCAGCCCTCCAAGCACAACAACAACAACAACCACTGTTACTGGATCAACAACAACCATGTCAACTCCTCAAAGTATGTTCCCAAAAGCAATAATTCTCACCAAAACCCCTCTGCCCCCAGGAACAGAATCAACAAATAATTTCTGGTTCTGTTGTCATGTCTGGCCTTGCTTTGGGAGTAGTGAAGGTCCATGAAACACCTCTATATGTGTCTCTAGGTGGGATCAGGGATGGGTGTAACTTCTGGGAATCCCAGGAAAAGTTCTGTGGCCAAATCTGACCCTTGGGCTGGCTGTTTCATAAGGAACAAGGATTTAGGGGTTCTTGGGGGAAGGTCTTGTCTTTCCTGACTCAACAGTGCTTCAAGGAGGTATTTCATGTTGGTACCCAGCTTAGACAGATGCTGAACAAATGGGCAACATTGCTTTTGCAGCTGTTGGACCGTGTCCTTCAGCTGTCCAGAATGTAGTCACTGGACCCATGGAGTGCAATTGCAGTGGGACTTGGTCTTGTGGAAGTGCATTTCAGGCTTTGTTTGGGCTCAGCCCTTTCACTTCAGGCCCCACACCCTCAAGATCCACCAGCACCACACCAGTAACAGAAACAACTATCCATGAGACCACTACCACCAGGATCCCAACCCCTCCAACAGGATTCCCTACCCCCACTTCCACCCCT